GCTCTAACTGTTATGCAAATTGCGGCTCCAGGGAGGCAGCTGGCTCATCTCCATGACAAAGGGCAGCCCAGCTCCCACCGGGAAACGTGCAGGAAACCTCTGGGAAACGTGCTGGGAAGCATGCGGGAACCCATGCGGGACCCGTGCAGCCCCTGGGGCGCTCCCGGGCCAGGAGGGACCGGGCTCCTCCTGTCACACCGCTTTCATCAGCAGCTCCAGGGAGCCCAGAGCAACCCGGGCTCAGYCCTTTCCAACACGGAGAAGCGGCACCCCCGGCAGCTCTAACCCCCTTCCCTGTCCCAGCGGGAAGACGCTGTCCCCGCCGCTCCTGYCCCGCGGACAGATGGTGTCTGAGCCGGCTCCCGCCGCGGCTTCGCCCTTCTCCAGGGCCACGATGCCGGGCGCTTGGGCCCTTGTGGAGCTGCAGCGCAGTGCCCACTGYAGGGCTCCYGTGCAAGCAGGCCCTGGTGCAAGCCCGGACAGCTGCAGCGCTGCCCACCTTGCTGCAGCGCTGCCCATGCACCACGGGGCTCCCGTGCAAGCAGGCCCTGGTGCAAGCCCGGACAGCTGCGCCGATGTCCCAGCCGAGGCGAGCGGCCGCTCACGCGCTCGCACGGCGCTTCCCTCCTCGGGGCAGAGCGGGGCCACGCGCCGCTGCAGCAGCCCCGGCGCCTTGGCARGGAGGGCAGCGTGGCCCCGCTCTGTCCGAGCGGTTGGGGTTCTGGGACACCCCATTCCGCCTCCTTGGATGGGCACACGGCTCTCCTGCCCAGGAGCCGCCTGCGCTCCCGCCTTCCCGGGGGACTTCAGCTACATCCCCTCTCTTCCCACTCCGGCCTCAGCGCCTCACGAGGCTCCTGCAGCCCTTCCAGGCCTCTTGAATGGAAAAGGGGAAAGGGCGGAGGTTGAGGAAGAGGAAGATGGGCCGTTTTCACTTCCTGTTAGTCCTTATGAATTCTCAAGTGCTTCACCCGTGAAGTGAAGCTGCTTTTAGCAAAATCCCGGCTGGCTCGAGGGGAGGAAGCGGCGCGGGCGGCTGCTGCAGCACGGAGCAGAGGTGCATGATCCCRTGCGCTCCCTGGGCACGCGCTGGCACCGGAGGAGCCCGGGAAGCGGCCGGAGCAGCTCGGATGGGCTGGCTCAGGACACCAGCCCTTGTGGCAGGGCCCTTGCAGCACSGCGCTCGCTTACGGGCAGCAACGTCCCGTTCTCTCAACGCCCGGGTTACCCGTCAGCAGCAACAGCCGGGCGCCCGCGGCCCCGAGGTACAGACGCACACGTCATGTCACGTACTGCCGCCAGCCCTTCCTCTTGCATCAGAGCGTGCGGGAGCCCTGGCCGCCTGGAGCGCCAGCAACGATGGAGCTGGGAGCTGCGCGCGGCAGCAGGACCGCAAACACAGCACAGCCGGGGCTGTGTGAGAGCCTGGCCTGGCCGGACGGATCCCGGCCTTCCCGGAGGGATCCCGGCCTTCCCGGAGGGATCCCGGCCTTCCCGGAGGGATCCTTTCTGGACTCTCAGCCTCTCCTTTTCCTCCACGTGTCTCCCAGGCCAGCGATGCTGCCAGCCCCTTCCGGCAGCCCCCGTGCCCCACGCGGCTCCCTG